GCGAGGCATGCTAATCAGAGGGACTCAAGTGGAATGCTATTACTTGCTTGGAAGCTTATTTCAGATCCTTTAATGCAAACTGGGATAAGCATGCATCTAATGATGAAATTCAAGTAACCTGCAGGCTGGAAAGTAGGGATGTTAATTCCTGTTTTAAAAGTTAACCGGTTAAGCACTATGGTAACTGGTTAACCCTGGAGCAGCCAGGGTGGGGGGATGCTCTGGTCAGGCTGGGCATCTGTTTAACCAGTTATCCGGTAAGCATGCCGGTAAGACTCATGCTTACTGGGTAACTGGTTAACCCTTTACATTACTACTTGAAGGATCTTACACTACTGGCATATGCTTATTTATCAACTGTCCAATATTGTGCAGCGCTCATGGAGAAGAAAAGGAGAGAGAACATTTTTGGTTATTCATCAGAAAACAGCTAGTGACACGTGGCACTAGAGATGGCAAGAGCCTTTGCCTAGGAACACAAGGCTCCAAGTCTCTCAGAGGTGGTCCAGCACCAGGCTTTCACACACACTTCGATCCTCAGCTGTCTTACACTGCAGGCAAACACTTTCTCTATTGGGAAAGTGCTGTACAGTCCAGACTAAAGCATACCCATTACGTAGTGTTGCTTCTAGAGCAGTAGCACCTCATGGCCCAAAGCCACACTAGGAGGCACTAACCCTCACTGCTCCCCTGCCCCACACCCACCATCCTGCTGGGGTGGGACGGGATCAATAGGGCACAATTAACATTTTCTGGCATTTCAATCGAATGTGTCAATGAAAGAAGATCCTCAATTCTCTGCAGCAGAACTCCATTGGAGTTCCTAAAGAAAAGGAAGCAATGAGGATCTGTTCCCAATAACCCTGCCAATCCTTGGCAGATGGGATGGCTTGCATGGATGTTTATCTGTAACTACCACAAATGGGATCAGGTTTTTTAAGTGAGTTCCATCTAGGGATGTGAAAGTTAACTGGTTAACTTTTGATGCTTATTGGTTCTGGTTCATCGGTAACCTCTGGGTGCTGAAGTAGCAGGGGGGTGGCTGCCAATAGGAGCTGTTCCAGTCGGGGCTGGGAGCCGACGACAGCCCCAGTGAGGGTGGGAGCTACTTCTGCCAGGCTGGAGCAGTCCCCAGCCCGGATCCCGCTCAGTCAGTTAACCAGTTAAACATTAGGTCAACCTAACATTTAGTTGGTTAACAGATTAACTGAGATTTTACATCCCTAGTCGCATCTGGTCAATATGGCGTGTGCAAGCCCCACCCCTGTAACACGGCCCCACAAGTTGGCTTACTGAAGGAGAACGATTCTGGGCATGCTCTGTGCCAGCTCCAGCTCTGCCATGGACTCACTGTCACTAACTTGTGCCTGTTCTCCCCTCTACAATCCCATTAATTCCAGCCCCTCTCCTTCCCCTCCCCCTGATCATTTCCGGGACACTATATACTTACACTGGTGTTTGGTGATGGCCAGAACAAGGAATGTGCAAAATCCCACCATGGAGAGAGCAGAGAAGAGGATCCCGATGAAGAGGAAAAACCTCAGCCCTTTTAACCAGGTCCTCCAGTAATCCTGCACATACATCACATGCGTGATTAGGGCCCAGAGCGCCAGAACACCTGCTCAATTAAACAGCAAGGGGAATCAGAATAACGGATCACATGGCAGCACAAACAAATATACAGCGAGTTACAGCCAAAAGCTACAGTAAGAACATTAAAGCTTCAAAGTCAAGAGCTCCAAAGCTAGGAAATGCTAGAATTAAGGTTGGTTATGCAACCCTAATGGAGTCTCTTGAGTGAATGCATTACGAAACAGACCAATTACAGAGGCTCACACTTTTTCCACAGGACCAAGACTCACTAAAGAACAGGTAGTTATTCAATAACTTTTTATATTCCACATTCAATGCTTGACCCCACGTCTTATTTCACACACACTGGTGCAAACTTAGCCCTGCATACAAAGATTAATTTCTTCCTGGGTATGGTTAGGGTTCTTTCACCACAGTATGGATACTTCAGAAGTAGTTCAGTGCATCAAAACATTAAACAGTGTTATTAACTCTTTTTCTATCTGGGGAACTGAAGCACAGAATTAAAGCCAAAACTGTCACATGCCCACTAATTTTGGTTGCCAAAATGGAGACACTCGAGGCCTGATCTGCTAACATATTTAGCATCGTTAAACGTTAGGGCTTCGTCTACACTGGCCCCAAATTCCGGAAAAGGGATGCAAAGCAGGTAAGTCAGAATACAGAAATCCGCGGGGGATTTAAATATCCCCCGCGGATTTAAATAAACATGTCCGCCGCTTTTTTTCCGGCTTGGGGAAAAGCCGGAAAAAAGCGTCTAGACTGGCGCGATCCTCCGGAATAAAGCCCTTTTCCGGAGGATCTCTTATTCCTACCTGAATACTTGCGCAAAATACTTTGGAATAAGAGATCCTCCGGAAAAGGGCTTTATTCCGGAGGATCGCGCCAGTCTAGACGCTTTTTTCCGGCTTTTCCCCAAGCCGGAAAAAAAGCGGCGGACATGTTTATTTAAATCCGCGGGGGATATTTAAATCCCCCGTGGATTTCTGTATTCTGACTTACCTGCTTTGCATCCCTTTTCCGGAATTTGGGGCCAGTGTAGACGTAGCCTAGCTGTTCAAAGCATAGTTCCAATGGACTTCACTTTATCTGGAGGGAATTCTGCACCACAAACATTACAAATTCTGCACACAATATTTTAAAATTCTGCGTATTTTATTTGTTAAAAACAATACAATCACACCAGTTTCAATTACTGTGGTAATTTATTTCAGAATATCTGTCAGCAAGTATGTCTGTAACAATACAGACAAAAAATTCAGGCAATGTTTTTGACAAAGCCATTCCTTACTTGGCATATTAATACAGAACTGAGTAATGATTCATTTAAACTACAATACATATCCCACACCCCTCAGAAGCAGTGCAAAGGCTGGGGTGTCGGGGTAATGGAGGAGCTCAGGGAGAGGGAAGTAATTGCTGGGAGGCTGCCTGCATATGAACTTTAAAGGTTGAGGGTATGGGTGGGAAAAGTACGGAATTGGTTTTTTTGGGGGTGGAGAAGAGATTGTTATGGAGCATCCCCCTGCAGACACTGGATGACCTCTAGCCTCTCCCATTCATTCAGGCAAGCACATCTGCTCTGTCCTCATGTCCCTGTGCCCCCCCAGAGCCATCCCCCTTGCCCTCTGCCCATGTGGCCCTGTACCTCCCTCCCCTCTGTGACCCCGCACGACCACTCCCATTTAGTCCCTGCCTCAGTCTGTCCTCCCTCACTAGCCCTTATGAGCCCCTGCCTACGATCCCCAGAAGCCCGATGCTGTCTGTCTCTCCATAGCCAGTCTCCTGAACTGGCCCGACAGGCACTGTGAAGAAGGCAGGCTCACTCTCTCCCTGATCCTGGCTGGGGCTTGCACTAGAACAGAGCAGCAATCCTGGCCATCGCGCACACAAAAGGGAAAAATGCAGCAACTTTTCAGCAGAAGCTATTTTCTGCAAAAAATTAAAATTATGAATGGCACATGAATTACACACATGCAGCAGTGCATACTCACTCACCACTTCTATATATCTGGCCTACAGTGTCTCAAATTGGGCACTGGCAAATGATGCATGCTAGATTAGATGCCACTTGTGAAAAATTTAAGTGACTTTCCCAAGATCACATAGGAACTCTGTGGCAGAAGCTGAGATAGACTGCAGTTTTCCATGGTGGTCTTGACTATTAGACTGTCCTTTCTCTTTCACTACATATTAAACAGTTACCCACCGTTTTGTAATTGTTCATGGAGAGGTGTTGTCCATTCCAATCTAGGTGTGTGTATGCCCACATGCATGGCTGTTGGGAGAATTTTTTCCTTAGCAGTATCCATCGGGTCAGCTGTGGCGCCCTTTGGAGTGCTGTGCTTATGCAGCAAGCCCTATGCCCTCTCAGTTCCCTCTTGGCGACAACTCCGGCAGAGGCAGGAGGATGGGCAATGGAATGGACATAAGCCACACATCTTGAAGACGTTTTGAAAAGGCGGGCAATTGTTTTTCCCTCTGAGTGCGTGCTCACGCTGATTCCATTCTAGGTGATTCACAAACAGCATCCTCGGAAGCAAGCTTGGAGTTTAACCCAGGCAGCCTGGCTCCTGTCTGCTCAGAGAAGAGACCAATCCCATCAAAAGGCAGGTCTTGAATTGAGGCCTGCATCTCCTGCAAAAGGCCCACTCACCAGAGTCACGAACTGCACCTTCTTACTCCAAAGAAACAACCTGAGCTACTGAGTCTGCCACATCCCGGGCTATTTGCAGGGCGTGCCCGATTACCACAATGCTCTCCTCTACCAGGCCACCAAATTCCTGGGCCAGACCCTGCGGAAGAGACTCCTGGAACTTGCGCAGTGCCCCAGAGGTTAAAATTATAACTGCCGATTCATCACCTGAAATGGTAAGTTGGCTGTTGAATAAATTTCCCCCCCAAAGTGATCGAGTCTTTTAAATTGTGTTCTTGGGAGTCAAGGAGGTATGACCATGTCTGTCTTTCTCATTGACCAAAGACACAACCAGCGAGCTCAGGGGTGGGTGGGTTTATAGCTGTTAAATCCTTTGGCTGGAACAAAGCCCTTCTTCTCGACTCTTTTGGGGATGGGAGGGATGGAAAAAGGGGGTTGTCAGAGGTCCTTGGTGATTTTAAAGATCCCTTCATGTACCAGTAAGGTAACCTGGGTGGGTTAGAGGCATTAAAGAAGGTATTCTCCTAATCCACCATCTCTTGTACTTCTGGGCCCAAATTCTTGGACACCTGCCAAAATAGGGCCTGATGCTCCTTGAAACGATCTGGCGGGCTAGCCCTCCATGGCCCCAGGACGGGGAGGAAGACTGGGCTTCCGGAAAGAATTCCAGAGGTTCGACCACCACAGGAGAAGGGAGGCTTAAGTGTGGGCACAGGCTCCTCTGGCCCGACCTTGGAATGGCTCCCTGGCTCGCAGCCTGGTGCCAGCAGTACTGCAGACCGAAGAGCGTTGCAGTGGGGAACACTGTCATTACCAGTATTCCCCACATGGCCATGCTGCCACTGCAACACCACACATGGCCCAAGTGCCCAATCTAATGGATGGGATTTGGGCAATGGGCTGCCAAAGGAATCTGCGTCTACTTGCTGGCAGTGCCTACCAGCAACTGACAAGAAGAGATGCTGTGGAGACCAGAACAGAGACAGGGGATTCTCCCACACAGCTGGTAATCAGCACCAGCATTAAGAAGATGACTGATGGGAGGATGATCGGTGCTGGGAAGAACATGGAGAGGGCTCTTTCTGTACAGGAGGAGGGATGAAGGGATCTTGACATTTGTCTGGGTGACTTTAGGGCGAGTCTTGCACCTGTCCTGGAACCTGCAGTGAGCTACTGAGAGTCTCACCTCTTCTCCCCTTCCCTTGAGGGGTCTTAGCAGCTTGCTTGCCCTCTTGAGGAGCCTTAGCTGAGTTCTGTTGCACCCAAGTCGTTAGCGGCATGGGTGGAGACCTCTGCTCTATCTGTGCCTGCGAGGATGACAGTGCCAACAGGGACGTGGGTTACACTGCTCCCCGGAGCTAGTGGCAGACCTTTGAGAGAGCTGGGAGCTCCAACGAGGCTCCAGAGCAGCTTGATCTGGGTCCCTCATTTGATAACCCCAACCCCTGGGTCTTTTTGCTTGGTGCTGGGGTGTGTTTCTTAGCCTTTCTTCAGCACCGGTGATGGGGAGCATACCAGGAGGAGCCAGGTGCTGGTATGCACGGCACATGGAGGCCGAGATGCTTGGTACAACTTGGCAGGCTGGCTCGGAAGCTGGATGAAGGGTGGACCTCATCAGCAGAGCCTTCAGATGGATACCCCACTTCCTCTGGGTCCCTGGCCAAAAGGATACAGATCTGGCACCAATCATTGACATGTGACTCCCTGAAGCACTTAAGGCAGCTGCAATGGGGTTACTAATAGCTTTAGACCTTCGCAGTCCGAGCAGGTATTTAACTCAGGAGACTTGGGCATGCTCTGCCTGGGGCAAAGGCCCTGCTGGTGAACTAACTGCAAACAACTACATTTAACAAGTTCTTAACACACACCAAAACCAAAATGTACAAAGTTCAGAGAAAATCTACTAGCTCTTGCCAAGCAGGAAAAGGTATTCTGATCTCTGGCAGTAAGGAGGAACTGACAGGGCGTAAGGCCGGTGGCACCTGATAAACCACTCTGTGAACATGGCTCTCCAGACAGCGGATGCCACTGACAACCCTATAGATCCCACTAAGGCAAAAACTTCCGATGACCACACTGATGGACGTACACACCCCAAGAACAGAATCAACAAGCATGCGAAGAACATTTAGCTTTTACCACAAACAGGACAAAGGTCCTACAGACAACATCCTCTTTCATCCATCTTCCTTTGGGTCTCTGGTTGCTAGGTGCCAAGGTCCTAGTGACTGCATTTTCCATTTCTCAGATTTTCAACTGATACAGAGTTGGCCTAGGCCTTAGACAGCTGGGCAACACAACACACCTATGCCTCAGCCTGCCCTGAGAGCAAAATGGGTCCCTTTTCTCTCACCAGATGGGAGTTCAAT